TTCGGTCAAGTTTGTCCCGACAACGGAGCAACACGCGGACCTCCTAACCAAGGCCCTTAGCAGGGCCAGTCTGCAGTATCACCGGTGCAAGCTAATGAATTTGCCGGAGTAGATGTAGCAGTTTCTAGCACTTGGGAGAGGCCATGTCTTCCATACGGGGAAAGGCGCATAACTGTTGCGGTCTGTGTACCAATGGGAGGAGTAGGGGGCGTTGGGAGACCATCATCCGGGGGAACGTAGTTCCTCGCGTTCTTGTCTTCGCCTTGGCCTTTCAAATATGTGCGGCCGTTGTGATCCGCTGTGATAGCGACGGTTTTTTGTGGTGGTAGGGTTTTTCTTGAGGGGTTGTGCCCGGACCCCGGGTTTCCCCTCCATGTAGTACCATGTTCATGTTGGTATCTTCTGATGTACCCAGGGCGTTCTTGCCCAATTGATGGTTAGTCACTTGCGTGAAGAACCAGGGTGGGTGTTCGTGGGTCTGCGAACTTTGGTGTTGGATACATGTGCTGGATGATTTTGTGTCACGCAGACTGGTAAGATTACCGTTTTGGTAGGGGGCACCGCGATGATTCACGGGGCCCCTCCTTGCTGTGGGAGCCGCTCTTTGAGCACTCCCTCTATCGTCCGTGTGAAGGACGGTCGTCGACCTCTCGTGACGTGAAAACATCACCAAAACAGTCTCACCCGATAAGTGGCGTAGGCCGCAAACGCCTCCCACGGTGCTTGCCTTCGATTCTTAATGCGACAAGAGTTCAGCACTTTCTTCCCACTGTATACATGCGCTTTCCACCCAGGCTAGAAATGGAAGCGAGAGAAAAACTCACTTCGCAAGAAATGCTCGCTTTCGCCGGGATTCGAACCCCTGACGCCCCCCAATACAAAGTTTTCGAGGATACTAATACTAAAGACTACCGGGGCGACTGACAGCCGCGTGTTGCCACAGACTCGATTATGGGACAATGCGCAATAAGACCATAACCCAACACGGAGCTAAACGAACAGTTAGGTATAGCAACTCCTTGCTCGTGCGTAGAAACGATTGCACGAACATGTTCCGAGAGTAGCATTTGCTGACTTTTGCTAGTACGACGAAACTCCCCCTCCTTTACCACATTCAGCAATAAACAAAAGGCGCGCTGTATATCGGTCACATATAAATGTCCTCGTACATGGTCCGAAAATTGTCAATTTCATCAATCTCAGGTACAAATCGTAGGGGTAACTGGGGTCATTATCCAGGTCATCTTCCTGCGCGATTATGACCTTGCAGCCGGAGGGGGGGCGCTCGATCCAATTGACCTCTCTCAGCAAGCACAGGTTTCGAAGATTCGAAGGCCACGAAACACCGCGTTTCAGTCTCTTAAATTTGCAACCAAGCCCCAAAGTGACGAGCCCACTCGGCCAGTTGATGCCTTCAAGGGAATGGTCGAACTTGTCACCAAGCCAAAGAGTCTCAAGGCTCGCCGGCAAATGAGTGAAAGGGCAGTTGAAACGGTCCCAATAGGATCCAAGCTCGTCCAAACGCGTGTTTGGGTCTTCCGTTAGGCGGATCTCCCACGGCGGATTTAATGCCGGCGGCCACCTCACGTTGTCAATAGGCTGATTGAATCTAGGGACGGACAGTCTCTGAAGCCCTTGCGGCCACACGACGTCTTGGATGGGCTGGTCAAAAGCGGCGCCAAGGAAGATGTCTCGCAGGCCCGAAGGAAAACTAAAATTGGCCCCAACAAGCGAAAGTTTGAACGAGCCAATATCTTTCACGCGATAGGACTGCCCCCCGGATCGGAAGGCATAGAATGATAACCGCTCCAGACTCACCGGCCACGTCGCCCCTTCAAACGCCTTGTCAAATAGGATTAGGGCAACTTCTTTGGTGCCTTCGGGCCAGTGCACATCCCTCAAGTCCACGTTACTCACGCATGGATCATCCACCGAAGAGTAAGGAGCCTTATCGACAGCCTTGACCCGCGCTGCACAATGAGTGAATGAATGTCCATTCCAACGTGAGTACCCTGCGAGGTTGCAGGACTCGCATCCGTGAATTTTGACCTCCTGTGCTTGAACCGCATTTATTTGTGATTTTGAAAACATCCACCTGCACTTTTGTGCAACAAGGTTACTTTTCTTGCAATAGGACCGGAAGTCTATTCCCGTGATAATCGGACTGCTGTTTGTGTGGCCAGTAAACATGCGTCCCGATGTTTCGTCCATCCTGCCACCTTCGCCCGCAGGATATGCATTGGGAGTTAATAATGGCATGAACGTCCATGCCAAATTTGATTTTTTCACATGGAGGGGACAAAACTACCCCATCCCCTGTACCAAAACGCCATAATTTGTGCCATAAAACCACCAAACAAGTGGCCAGTTCTGGCGGCACCACAGTAACAGCCACAAGCACGTGCTGAGGCCGACAGACGCGGAAAGGGAGGGCCAGCTCTATAGGGAAGACTGTCTCTACTACCAACGCCGAAGAGGACGCGCCAATCGGTCGTCTGAGAACAAGAAAATCATGCTGTATCTCCTGTATCTTTGGTCCTCTTCTTGGTCTCCACCCACACATGTCCTGCCTTACAGCACAGCACAGCACAGCTTTGCCTTCCTCTCCGAAGACTAGCAGGTGTGTTGTGGTGGTGGTGGAGTATGGTAGCCAAGGGCATGATGACGTGGAACTGCTGGGAGTAAAGCCGGAGAGGGAGCGCCATAACAGATGTCAAAACAAAGGAAAAATGCTGTATGTTTACACGCGGTTTCAACTACACACTGTACACTCGGCATGAATGCATATCTCACCACCTTGTAGCTATCTGCTGTTCGATATCTATCTTCCACGCATTTTCCTGTACGTAGACTGACCGTGACATTTCCCGTCTTCTTAGTCTCCACTCAGACAGAGTGCGAAGGAGGAATCCTCGAACCAAGAACACTCGAAGCAACAACAAGATCATTCGAAACAAGCAAGCAGCGAAGCGCTGCGTGAAGTATCCTTACATCGCTGATGTACATCAACGAAACAAAATCAGGAACCATGCTACCCCGCCCCCCTCGTGCATCGTTAAAAGAAACCTCACGAGTAGTTCTGCTTGTCATCGCAATGGGACGCACTAAAATGTATCCGAATTGAGATTGTACCTTGCCGGTGCCTGGTTTCTGTCCTGTCAAATATTGTGCCCTACCTACGCCGGAGCACACAGGAAACAACGAACAAGATAAGTTACATGGAGAAAACAAAACCAGCAACTTGAAACCAGGTTGTATGGTGGAGCTCCCTAAGACAAATACACCAAATATTCGCCATCACAAGAAAGCTACAAGCTTTCATCATCAAAAAACAAAAGGGGTCTGTTGCACGACAAAACCTACGCGATACAACGGATATGATACTTGCAACACTACAGTACAACCAAGCTGTATTCACGCGCCGCCATGCCCTCGGCACTCCTGATTCCAACAACAAACGTGCTGCCTGCAACTGAAGCCATCTAGATCATATAGACAGATGACCCATTTCGATCTGCCGAGGACTTTCTGTCTTCACCCGCTTGCCCCCCCTACCCGGCTCAAATCCCTCACCGTATTCTGCTTTTCATTTTTTTTAGGATGAAGTGGCGGGTCTTGAAGTCCCGCCCGAGGCTTGGCACCATCAACACTTCTGCGTCTGTCAGCAAATGCTTTCTCTTCCGTTTCCATTCAACAAAATATGTTCGCCTCATGTGGGCGAGAGTCCCTGGACGTGTTTTCGGTGTACATGCGCACACACCTCAAGCAGGCCTCCATCAGGATGGCATACATCCTCCCCGTTTGAACAGACAGTACAGGGTCAGGCTCAGATTCATTATTAACCGAAATCGTCTCATCCCTGACAGTCAGCGGTGAAGCCCCCCACTTTACGACTCACTGCCGTCCCCATCAAACGAACCTAGCTCTACTTCATCTAGTCGACGTTTCTGCACTATTTGGACGCCACCGTGGGTGGATGACTGTTCCCTTGAATTCGGAAGCGCGACCCAACTCATGACAAGCGCTACGAGGATCTGCCTACACTGCGACACTCGCCTTATGACCAGCAAACACGTACACCGCTGAAATCCGCCCAGGCCTATGACTACGAGGTGGTCGACCTTGCGTCGTTTGTACACTGTACGTTAACCACTGCATCTCATTTGACGTGGGCAGCCAGACAAAAACAATATTGCAAAACACGTGGTACCAAAGAGTGTTTCATCATGGTATTTTGTCCCGTCGAAGACCTCAGCGGATACCTGACAGCATTCGTACGTCATCGTTTCCATCATTGTTGGTTGGTGCTACAGCCAGGTCTTCGAGGAACCGAAATGACTCCCTTCCCTTAACCAGGACGGCGATTGCTCCAATTTTGGCCACGATTTCCTGATCGGCAATGGGAAACAGCACGACACAGATCGAACGAACGCGGTAATGGACTCTCCGTAACCAGTAAAACTGGTCTGTGTTTCGTCAACTACTTGATATGAGAACACCACGGGCCGAGATAGAGAGATGCCATTGTGGCACTTACACGTCGAGCGTACGTGCTGGCTCCAGCCTTGTCGTACTCGTTCATGACGGGTTCGCCGGCTTCTTCACGTTGCCGTCCATGTAGGCCAATCGGAGGGAGCTCGCCTTCGTGCCTTGCCTGCACGGAGAGCAAAATAGGGCATTGACGTGATGCTCATGATGCTGGCGAAACAATATGTTACAGAACCTACATCCCCCCCACCCCTGTCCATACGATGTATCATTATGTAAAGAATGTGAAATGCAACAAGCACTGTCGCCCTCCGGGACACCCACATTCTCGACGCCAGCACGAGATCTTCTACTCCTGCGTAAGCGATGAACAAAGTTCAACACGAGACGCTCACACACGTGACCGCTGTTGTTTTGCACTTGAAACCACGGCGATGAAGCTCGCTTTCGGTTTTGCTCAGAATCGAGTCCCACCCTGCATCTCCATCACCTTCCTCAAGAAACGTGAAGCCATTCTCGAGACTGATCGGATTGTGGTTTGCCTTTTCATCGCCTTCTTCTTCTGCCGTGGAAAACGGGAACATGTCATGTTTGTGCGCGGCCCGCATGCAGAAGAAAACGCGCGGCAGAATGAGCCATCGCGAGATATGATGACCGCGGTGAACTCCTTCAGCTTACAACCGACCGTGGTGATGCGATCTCCAGGGTTGTCTGTTGACATCCGTGCCTACCCGTCCACCCACTCTTGTATTGTTGTGACAACACTGCGCAATGTCAAAACGCTACGTCACGATGGGAAGTTACTGTCGCGGCCGCCGTGTGCCTACTTTAATGCAGCGCCCAACGATGTCGTATAGTGCCTGCACCAACCTTCGCTGTCGCACGGGTCGGGCAATGACGCTTCTCCACCTCCCTCTGCCCAGCCCGTCGAGGCGTAGGCCTCCTCTTTCCCTCCGCTGACGTCCATGAAGCCAAACCCTTCATACACCTGAAGGAACACAAGCCTTTAGTAGCATCGCTCTCGATATGAAGTGACCACATCCTGCCTCCGTCTACCGCACAACTGGCGTTCGAGCACCTAGAGTGAACATGAAGGGACACAAGCGTTCGACACTACCGCTCTTCATGTGAAGTGAAACGTCCTGCCCCTGTCTACCGCACAACTGGCGTTTGAGCACTGGCGTTCGAGCACCTAGAGTGAAAATGAAGGGACACACGGGTTTGACACTACCGCTCTTGATATCAAGTGACCACATCCTGCCTCTGCCTACCGAACAACTGGCGT